AAGCAGCCTTCTGCATTGGCTCCCTGGTGCCTTGATCCCAAAAAGGACTGGAAGGTTTCCTGGATGAAAGTCAAGAATATTCCAGCACCTGCAAGCAGATTCTCTCACAGTCTCTCAAGTGATCTTCCCTGTGCGATTCTTCTTCAGTCCACAACTGAAGAGACGGATCATCTCTGGGAAGACAGACACTGTCTGGTTCCTGAGCCCATGAGGCCCAGATTCAGTCTGAAGATATGAAGGTACCTGGATGCAATTGAACAGGTCCCATTAACCCAACTGAGATTCTTTCAGAAAACCTGCTATGGTCCAAAGTGATGTCCTAATCTAGGTGCTGCCCCCACACTGGAACGCTTCCATGGCCTTAATTCCATTCCGGGGATTCAGCTGGGGCAGGGTGGCCACTGTTAGGGGTTAGAGGGGCTTCCCGCTTGAGCAGCGTTGGACCAGGTGACTCGTAAGACCCTGTGTGGGAGATAGGATGAGTCTTTAAGGACAGAGTTGTGTTCTTGAGTCAGGTAGGGACAAGTGGCTGTGCCTTTGTCCCTTCTTGGTAACTGCTCATGGTCACCTTGGAGAAAGCCGGCTGAAAACCTGGGTGGTCAGAGTTGCCTCAGCCGGACCCCACCACAAGCTCCTGGCCTTTCCCTTCCTCCAATGCACAGAAACAGAGTGTGTATGTCTTGAGATTTAGTTCATAAAAAGCCCTGCTCCAATGTGGTTTTGGCTGGACAGAAAGGTTTTTGCTGACAGAATGGGCACTCTCAGACCATTTAGATGCAGAGATTTAAAACTTGGTTGCAAAGGCTTGAGGCCAGTCTGTCACTTCACAGATTCTGGCTGGCAGAAGGAAACATTTCCTGCCTTCTTGGAGAAAACTTGTCTGAACCTCACTGTGGTAGAAGGACTTGGGTATCCCAAGAGGATTGTTTCTATTCTTTTTATTCATCCATCCAAACAGCCAAGAATCCATCTGACATCTAGTGAACCTCTACGTCGTGTGGGTCGTTATTTCTGGGCATTGAAACAGTCATGTTTCCTGCCTTCCAAAAGCCTTCTGTCCAGGAATGAAAGTGAACATGTCACTGGCCCAGGAGAGAGCACATGCCGTGAAAGAGGTACTGATGAGAGGGCTCTGAGTTCAGAGAAATCACGGAAGGCTTGGTGGAGGAAGTGATATTTGGATGAGGCATGAAAGGGGAGACGGGATGCAGAAATAGGGAGCGAAAGCATTTTGGACTGAACGGCCAGTGCAAGCAAAACCCAGGAGTGGGATGTGCCAGGTGTTATCACTGAGCTGCTTATTGATGCACAATTAGTTTGGAGAAAGATTGGGAACTTCTTCAGACACCTCTCATGTGCCTTTTGCTACTGGAAGGGTAATGCTGTGCTTGCTGAATGAATTCTCAAGATCAGGCATGGGTGCGGTGGCTCACGTCTGTAATCCCTGAACTTCGGGAGGCTGGGGCAGGAGGCTTACTTACACCCAGGAGTTCAAGAGCAGTCTGGTCAATCTAGCGAGGTCCTGTCTCTATGCACACACACAAAATTACCGGGATGTAGTGGCGGGTGCCTGTCTGTAGTCCCACCTACTCAGGAGGCTGAGGCAGGAGGATCGCTTGAGCTCAGGAGTTTGAGGCTGTAGTGAGCTGTATCATACCACCACACTCCAGCTTGGGCGACAGAATGAGACCCCTGTCTCAAAACCCCAAAACAACAAAGGCCTTCTTGACTGCTTTTCAGTGTCTGGAGCTGGCCTGTGTGTCCATTCTGACCTGGGAATGTTAGAGGTAGCAGCCTGCCTGGAAAAATGCTACACCATCTACCTCTGCCTCTGGGGAACATCAGCGCAGGATTCAGTCCAACAGGTACCTGTTTAGCGTCTACTGTGTGACAGTTGCAATTGGAGAGCAAAAATACAGAAGGTGGCCAAGCATAGATGGAGGAGCTAGCATGCCCCGGGCACTTTGGATACTTTGTCTCATTTGAACTTGAAAACCACCCTGTGAGGCTGATGGTTCTTCCCATCTTACACATGCAGGAATAAATAACTGGCCCAAGATCACAGCTTTGTAGCAGAGACAAGATTTGAACCCAGAGCAGTCTGCCGCCACCACGCAAGGACCCAAATAACAGGATAAGCAGTGCTAGGAAAAGTATAAACACAGCTTGGCAGTTCACGGAGAGTGAAATCTGCTGCAATTGAAACTGCATCACGGAAAAGGTGACATTTGGGGGTGGGCAGGGTGGCTTATGCCTGTAATCCCAAGTTTGGGAGGCTGAGGCAGGATTGCTTGAGGCCAGGAGTTTGAGACCAGCCTGGGCAACACAGCGAGACCCTGTCTCTAAAACAAGAAAAAAAAGAAGCCAGAATCGATGGCACACACCTGCTGTCCCAGCTACTTGGGAAGCTAAGGTGGGAGGCTCGCTTGAGCCCAAGAGGTTAAGGCTGCAATGAGTTATGATGGTGCCACTGCACTCCAACCTGGGCAAGAGTGAGACCTTGTCTCTAAAAGAGAAGGTGACATTTGAGATTCACTTCACGTGATGAGCCTGTTAGCAAGGGAGACTTTTAGGTTGAGGGAAGCTATCGCACCAGGCTATAAAGGCAGGAAAGCAGAGGAGCTTACTAAATAGATATGGCTGCATAAAAGAGGCTGGAAAAGCAGATGATACTAAGCCTTGAATACCAAGGGCTGGTGGACAGTGGGGAGCCACTGATGGTTCTGGAGCAGAGGAGTGACACAATAACATTCAGGCTCTGGGAAAATGAAGCTGGCATTGGTGGACAGGATGGATATGCAATGAAGGATGGAGGGTTTAAGAACCATTAGTCCTGATACTGTCTTCTTAGGGGTGTTACATGACTTGCTAGTGTAGAATAATTGCTGTTGTCTGCCTGCTGGTTGACTGTCTGATTCATGTCCATCTCCAGCATCCAGCAAAAAACCAGAAGCACAATTTGTATTAAACATATTGAAGAAAGAATGAATTTTAGTATTCAGTTCTCTGGTGGTGACATTGCAAAGAACCCCAGTGAAGCAGACAAATGTCCATGAAATCCTAATCAGACTCTTCATTGAACTTGAGAATTTCACTGTGATTTCTGATCGCTTATTTAGCAAGTTATTTACTTTTGCATTTCATGTATAGCTTTTGTTAGGTGCTAAATAGGAACAAAAGCAAAACCAATCCAAATCCTGTCATCAAAATTGGAGAGGAAAACTATGAAACATTTAGGTGACAATGTCCCCTCCCAGCTTTGACACAGTCCCGTTGCCTAGTTCACTCATCCAGTGAATTAGCACACATAAAGTACTTAATAACCGTGCCTGGCAAATGCTGAGTGAACAGCAAATGTTAGCTATTGTTACGACCATTCATTCATTCATAGAACACCAGTGATTAAGTGCTAGCCATTATGTGTGCACTATCATACATGCTAACTCAAACCTTGCCACAACCAACCTGCTGGTGAAATGTTTCATCTGACAAATGCAGAGACTGAGGCTGTGACCATTTATCAGCACTTAGATTTCAATGTGCACACGAATTATCGGCGGGGCTTGTTTACTTACAGACTCTGATTTGGGAGGTCTGGGGTCAGGGCCAAGATTCTGCATTTTGAACAGGATCCCTGCTGCTGCTGCTGCCGTCACTGCCCATGGACCACACTGAGTAGCAAAGGTCTAAGCAGAGCCACTGCTGCCAAGTGGCAGGACAAAGCTCTTTCCTGGAACCTCTGACTTCAAGTTCAGGGTTCTCCTTTCCTTTTTTCAGTCCCTTTGCAAGTTTGCTGCTGGGAGTCAAGTGATTGTTCTCTAGATATAGGCAAATGGGATTTAGACAGGTCCCTTGATGCAGTCATCAAACATTTATTGAGCCCTGGGAAAGCACAGGGTAAAAGCTGGGCTGTGGCCAAAGCTCACAGCCTGGTTTGGGTGTGTTTGAGTGGGTGGGGGCGGGCAGGGGTCCCAGCAGCCTGCGCTGGAGTCTTGCTCCTAGGTTTCAATGTTTGTTTCGTTGGAAAGTTACACAACTGTAAGATCATCAGTCCCATTGGTGCCTTAAATCCGTCATGCCCCGGATGTCACCTCTCTCCAACCTGCCCGCATCAGCTCCTTCTCCCTGTGTTTCCTGTTTCTGCAGAGGTCATTACCCTCAGGTGGTTGTATGGCCTTCTTTGGCATTTTCTCAGCATAGTTATTTAATGAAAATGTGAGGGAACCAATTTCACTAGCCCAGAAGGACGCTTTGCCCACCTGATGTAGGGAAATGGAGGTTTAAGCTAAGGGCAAATTTCTCTCTAGTGGCCTGAATGAAATTGACACCAGAGGGCGCCTCAGGACCACTTTCCCTGCAGACGAGGTTTGCTCTCCTCCCCCACACCGGTTGGTTTTGCTTTAAGACATGGTCTTGGCCGGGCGCAGTGGCTCACGCCTGTAATCCCAGCACTTTGGGAGGCCGAGGTGGGTGGATCACGAGGTCAAGAGATCGAGACCATCCTGGTCAACATGGTGAAACCCCGTCTCTACTAAAAATACAAAAAATTAGCTGGGCATGGTGGCACGTGCCTGTAATCCCAGCTACTCAGGAGGCTGAGGCAGGAGAATTGCCTGAACCCAGGAGGCGGAGGTTGCGGTGAGCCGAGATCGCGCCATTGCACTCCAGCCTGGGTAACAAGAGCGAAACTATGACTCAAAAAAAAAAAAAAGACCTGGTCTTCTGGTGATGCTTGGCGGAGGATTTGAGTCATTTACAACGGCAAAGTGCACATGCCTGTCCTCCCTTTCGTCTCCTCCTTTCTTTTGCTAGCACAGAGCTTCTTCACCTTTTAAAGGTCACGACGATACATCCCTTTGATTTTCTTTGCTCTCCTCCCTGCCCTGGAAGTCCTGAACGCTGTGCGCAGGCCCTGGGAAGGGTGAGGGGAGTGGACATTTGTTGAGTGTGAGCTTTGCCCTGTTCAGTGCATTGGCAGGTGCTTTGTGCCATTGAGCAGGCGAATCCCAGTCCCTTAAGAGTTCATCAGCGTATAATAGATAATTCCATCTTTGGAAGTAACATCTGCTGAAATAAATTGCTTCCGGAATAGGCTACATTCCTCCTGGTGGGAATCCTTGGGTGCACTACATTCTTCACGGCTTCAGAATCAGGAGTTTGGAGTCAGCCCCTCCATGTTGAACTCTCCTCCTCCTCTTCCTGTGTCCTCACAGCTGAACTGCCCTGGACACGCTGGTCTTTCCAAGATGACAACCAGCAGGCCTGGCTAACACGGCCATACGAGAGCGTGGGTGGCTGAGGACAACGTCGTGAAGAAACGAAGGGCCAGGGAGGGAGTGAGGACACCCCCTCGGGTAGAACGTCCCCTCTCTGGCCCCCAGGGGCCTGTATATCAAAGAAGGGGTGTGGATAAGACGATCTAAAGCTGCTTCTCACTCTTAATCTTTGCCAGTGGGGGGGATTTGAGGCCTGATGACACAGTGGGGACAATATTTTTAGGTTGGTATTTTTCATGCTTTTCACATTAAACCATATGGCCAGCAATATTCCTTCCAGAGACTGCATTATCTTGAATAAGATTGTAGGATGTTAGAAAAAGAGAGTCACAGAAACTTAGTGTCATGGAAAATGAAGAGAATTTGATGCTGGAATCGCAGGCGGGGCCACCCGTGTCAGACTTGTTCCCACTGATTCCAGGGCTTAGCACATTGTTGGCACAAGGTAGGTGATGAGAGAAATAATGAATGGATGAAACTGTAGGGAATTAAATCCTAGAACGATGGATAGAATCTAAGAATCGAAGAATATTAGAATTATGGGAAAACATTATTCACTTATTCAGAAGAGGGAGCTGAGATCCCAGGAGTGGGTGACAGTCTCCTGGGTGCTGAAGGGCCCATGGCTCCTGGGGCAGGGTTCTTTCTGCAGAGGAGGGGTAGCCTGGGAGGCTAGTGATGGTCCAGGCCACATCTCTGAACTCTCAGGCAGGGATGGGTTTGCAGGAAGGGAATTTTCCAGAGGGAGGACCTTTGACGTCAATGTTCCCCAGGCCTGGGACTACAGCAGCTTGAGGTGGGACCTTGAGGGGCAGGGAGGAGGCTGAGCACAGCCTTAGCAGGGCGGGGTGGGTCCGGTGCACAGCTTGTTGGGGTAATGGGCATATTTGCGGTTGTAGGTGCCCAGGTTGTCGCGAAAGCAGAGGGCAGCCCTCTTGTCACACTCGCAGGTCAGCCGCTGGCAGGCGGTCCTGCCGGCTGGATGGGACAAAGTGAGTCAGGAACCAAAGAGGCTCAGGACACGAATGGGACAGCTCTTGGCTGCTCCTAGGTCCACGTTCATGACCTGGACCACTCCGTTCTGATGGAAGCCCAAGGTCCCGGGTTGTTTCAGGGATGGTGACAAGAGACAAGGGCGGGGCGTACTGTAGCTCAGGACAGGGGAGGCTGGGAGCTTGCCGTCGCTGTCCCTCCTTGCTCTCCCGAGCCCACGCTGACTGCTCTTAGCTCTCCCCTGCCTTAGGGACACTGCTTGGTTCACTAACTGTCATTGCCCCCAGCCAGGGGGATTTCTAGGCAACCCCTGCACCCCTGTGTGATGCGTTGCTGATGGCAGACTGTGGCCATCAAGCAGAGAGGACAGCTATGAAATGACAGCAACTCAATCTGATGGCTATGTGTGCCCCAGAGCGACGTGGGCCCAGGTCGGAGGCCATTGGAACCAAAGCTGGGGTCTGCTCAGGGCCCTCTCCTGTGCTCATCAGAGTAGAGAGACCCCAGTTGTCTGCCCTGCCCAGCCTGGGAATCAGACTTCTGCCCTGACCTGCCCTCCCAAGAGCCAGCTGGCATCAGCTCTGTCGGGGCCCAGAGTTCCTCCTCTTTCTGCTGTAGCCGCCTCTGTCACCTCTGCCCACTGCGGCTCTGGCTCCTCTTTGTCCCCGTGACTGTGTCTCACAGCTCAGGCCAGGTGCCTCGTTTCCCCGCTTGAAGGATGGTCTCCGCCTCCCACCAGGGCTCTGCCCACGCCTGCTGTGTCAGCAACACTCAGGGCTGGAAGGGACTTATTGCTGAGTGGGTCAACCTTAAGCGGGTCAACCTTGAGCGGGTCAGCCTCTTTTGGGGGGCTCTTTCTAGGAGCTGGACTGAGCTGCGGAAGTGGGTAAGATCCTTTCCATTTTATAGATGAGGAAACAGGCTTTCCAGGGATTACATCACTTGTCCAAAGTCACAGGCTGGTAAAAGGTGAAGCCCAGGGTAGGATCCGGAGCCCGTCTCTACCCATCTGCTTCCTCCTCTAACTCAGCCTCTCAGCCCTACCCGGCAGGTGGCTGCTCCTGCCTCGCATGGACTCCCAGCAACAGGGAGCTCACCACCTAGCACATCGCCCTGCCGAGGGGACGGCTGCAGAAGAAACGGAGCCAGCTCTGCCGCTGTGGTCCTGGTCAGCTCTGCCCCGCCCCCAGGACACACTTGAGAGACCCGAGTCTTCTCCTGTGACCTCCGAACCCTTCCATGCTGCACCACCCGCCCACCAGGCCCTGCCCTTCTCCCAGGCCGCTCCTGGCCTTGTGGCAGGGAGAAAGCTTGGTTCTCTCATCAGGTGTCCCTCCACACTTTCACTTGGTTTGGGCTCCTTTCCTGGGCCCGGGACCAAAGGAAAGCTAACTGGTCCAAGTGGGCATTGGACATGGCAAAGTTGTGCAGATAAGACCAGCCTGACAGTCCCAGTGAGGAGTCAGCCTTTGGAAACCACGTCTGCTGTCCCCAGTCAAAGCCCCAGCTCGCTCTGTCCTAGGGACTTCACCTTTAGCTCCTGCTGAGGCCCTGCTGGGCCCTGGCTAGACTCAGCCCCCTCTGCTCTTCTTTCGAGAGGCCAGAGCTGGGAGGTGCCTGTGGGTAGGGAGATGCCTGGACCCGAGCACTGCACTGGTGGGCCACCGGCTTCTCTGGCCCGGGTACCCGGTAAACATGTGGGTCTCCACTATTTTATGGTGACTGGAAACCCCATGCCTCCAGACTGGGGTCTGGGTCTGATAAGGCCCAGAGGGGTTTCCTGCCTTCAGCTGCCTCTGCCCACCTCACCACAGGGTGTCTGGGTCACTTCAGGGCGGTCCACTTACCGCAGAAAATGCCACGTGTGCTGGCAGAGAAAAGATACTTTTCCAGTTTGGGCTCACAGCCCAGCTTCTCCAGACGCCCGTAGCAGCAGTCGTGGGCATGGCAGCACCTGTAAGGGTCATGGTCGACCTGGGAGGACCTATGAGCCAGGCTGGGCTGGATCAGGGGTTTCTGGGGGCCCCAAGCCCAAAGCAGCCCAGAGGAGAGGTCAGCCTGCGTTTCCCAGGTGCCTCCCAGGTCCCCCCTTCTCTCAGGATGCTCCTCCAGCTCCTCCATCCCCAGGGAGGCCCCCTGCAGTCCACTTCCTCACCAGTCAGTCTGGTCCACCGGCCAGTGGGAGCCTCCGATGCCGCAGTAACAGCCGTAGTCATTGTACTGCAGGGCAGACTTCCCTGTCATCTTCTCGATCATCACCCCGAACTGGACCAGGTTCCCGGTGGCCAGGGCCACTGTGGAGAGGGAGGGCCCCACTCTCTGCAGCCAACTTCCCCTGATGTCCCCCCAAATCCGATCGCAGGCATTTCTCCAGTTGTGCAGTTAAGCTGACCTCCCCAAAGCACCCCACTCTCAACAACAACTGTGGTAATAAGTAATAATATTGCCAGTGACATCCTTGGCACCTCCATCCCCTAGTCCTCAGCTCCAGTGTGTCGGCCCCTCCAATGTCCCCTTCCACTCTCCTCCTCTCTGTACAACGATGTCACTCGTTCATCCCTTCCAGGGGCTCCCCACCAGCCATGAGTCCTCCCCAGGTGTCGGCCCTTGTCTCACCCAGGAACACTCTGTCCCTCCAAGTCTCGTCAGATGGCACTGGACGTGTCTCCTGACTGCCTCAGCTGACCTCCCCGAGTTCCTCCCTATGCTCCCGACTTAGCTGTGGGGCTGAATCCTGCCCACCTTGGCAGGTTGGAGCCAAAAATGGAAGCTAGGGTAGGAGAGGGAGCCCAGGGTGTGCTGTCCAGGACGTGCCAGCTCCTGGCCCATGCCCCTCACCTCTCCCAGGCTGCATTCTCCTCCCTTCTGCTCCTGCCATCACTGGCTCAGGCAAAACTGGCCTCAGGGTCACCCTGGTGGCAGGAAGGGGGCGGCCTCCAGTGCTTGGCATCCACCATGCCCTCGGTAGGCCAGGCTCAGGGGCATCCAAGGAGCTTGGGGTTGCCAGATGGGGCAGGAGAAGGCTGAAGGTCATGAAGGTCACTTACCCAGGAGGCAAAGGAACATCAGCACGTGGGGAGGTTTCATCCCGGGCTTGCGGGGAAGGGAGGTGAGGGGCTGAGGAGCACACGAGGCAGCAGAAGACTGCAGCAGGGGCACCTCTGATCACAGGACGCCTCCCAATTAGTCCACTCCCTGTGATTAACCCCTGAGTGCCAGTGATGCAATGATTCTTTCAGGTCTGACAGTTTGGCCAAGTGCCTGGGGAGGGGCCAGCTGGGGCCTGTGGGCTCTGCTTCCAGGCAGTGTGGCAGGTATTCTCATGGCTCTTTCTTCTCATACCCTTTTCATCGCCCACCCTTTCCAAAAAATCATCCATTGACCACGCTGTGAGGTGCCGGCTGTGCGGGTGCCGGTCATTCTTGGTGTCTTTTTCTCATTCCCACTTGACCGAGGCCCAGAGAGGCGAGAAAGTTCAGTCCTCACAGCCGGGAAGTGCTCAGGGCCAAGTCCATCCTGTTTCTCTGAGTTTCCACCCAGGCAGAACCACCCTCCTGCTCTGGTCTGTGACTGGGATCACTGACTGTCCACTTCTGTCACTGTTCCGGGCCAGGGAGTCACTGGGTGTGTGGCCTTGGAGTCCTGGTTCTACGGCATATTAGGTGGCCTTGGGCAGGTCCTTTCCCTGGCTTGGAACCTCGGTTTTCCCGCCTGTATTGCAGGAATAGAAGGCATCCCCCTTGCCTCTTGCACAGGTGAGTGGAAAACTCAGACACAACCAAGCCGCCGGCCCAGTGCTTGCTATGCACCAGGCCCCTTTCGAGCAGGACCATAGCCCCATCCTGTGTGCGCTGCAGTCATCCCCATCTTACAGAGGAGGAAACCGAGGCACATGCACACGTGGTGAGCTAGATTTTAAACCCAGGCAACCCAAAGGGCTTAACCTGGACCAACTTACCCAGCACGAGGTGGAGGCGGGGCCTAGCACCCATGCTACTTTTAGCAGCCCCGAGAGAATGCTTCAGTTTCTTATCAAGGTAGGAGAAAAATGAGTACCATCCGGCCTGGATTATATTTGTCTTCAAACCAAGACAGTCATAACATTTAATTTTTAATGTTTTTATATGGAGGAAGGGTCCACGCAGTCCAATGTGCTTAGGGCCTGTGACAGCGGTTGTGCCGCAGCCCCGGTGTCGTCGGCAGGCCCCAGGCATCAGGAGCTGGTCTGGGGCCCAGGGCCAGCCTCCCTTCCAGGGGAGGAGACTAAACCCACCGAGTCTGGGTCTCACCCTACAGGCTGGAGGGAATCCTGACACAAATTCCCGGACCCCAGCCAGCCGGAGGATAGAGGCCCAGGGAGGTTTCGCCTTGGAGTAAGGAGAGGAGGGCTGACTGGGAGGGATCCCACAACTGTGATTTGTGACAAAAGGTTTCTTTCTTTTTTTTTCTTGAGATGGAGTTTCACTCTTGTTGCCTAGGCTAGAGTGCAATGGCATGATCTTGGCTCACTGCAACCTCCGCCTCCCAGGTTCAAGCAATTCTCCTGCCTCAGCCTCCCCAGTAGCTGGTATTACAGGCATGTACCACCATGCCTGGCTAATTTTTTTTTTTTTTTTGTATTTTTAGTGGGGACGGGGTTTCTCCATGTTGGTCAGGCTGGTCTTGAACTCCCGACCTCAGGTGATCCACCCCCCTCGGCCTCCCAAAGTGCTGGGATTACAGGTGTGAGCCACCACATCTGGCAGATAAAAGGTTTTTTAACACAAAAGCAAAACCCAGGAGGCTGGGTGCCGTGGCTCATGTCTGCAATCCCAGCACTTTGGGAGGACGAGGCAGGTGGATCACTTGAGGTCGGGAGGTCGAGACCAGCCTGGCTAACGTATTGAAACCCTGTCTGTACTGAAAATACAAAAATTAGCCAGGCGTGGTGGTGCATGCCTATAATCCCAGCTACTCAGGAGGGTGAGGCAGGAGAATTGCTTGAACCCAGGAGGCAGGGGTTTTAGTGAGCCAAGATCACGCCACTGCACTCCAGCTTGGGCGACAGAGTGAGACTCAGTCTCAAAAAAAAAAAAAAAAAAAAGAGTAAAGCTCAGGAAACACTTGTCTCCTGCCCCTTCCATTCATTTCCTGTTCATAACTCCTCCTGGGACTCCTTTCACGCTGGGCTCTTCTCACCCTGCTTCAAAGAAGGCTTGCGGGGAGAAGGGGTCAGAGAGGTGAGTCCACCTGCCCAGGATCATCTAGCAGCTGTGAGTCATGGTGTCCTGAGAAGGGAGACCTTTGTTTACCATTTCCTTTTGATCTCCTGGCAGCTTCTGGCTCTCCTGGCCTGGGTTACAAGAGCCCAAACAGTGAATCACTGAGGAGTTACCTTCTAAACAACTGAAAATTAGCGTCGATTCCCTGGGAGGTTTGGCCCACGGCCATTCCTGCGGTGGCATAAGGGGTGTTTCCCAGGAAGGGCCAGATTTTTGAGACGATCCCTTTTTGACCCATTTTGAATCTTGGCCTGGCCAGGAATGGGCTTCTGCAAGTCCCTGCAGGTCTATACCTGTAGCAGAAAAGTGAAGACAGTAGGGCCAGAGCCAAGCAGAAAAAGCCAGGCAGGCTTCCAGGCGGAGGTGCTCTCTGTTGAGGTTTGAAGCTGGAGTGTTGGTAGGACTTGGACTTGGAGGACAGTTCAGACATTTGGGAAAGGTAATTGATTTTATGGTCTCCACCCATTGGCACAATGCTGTAGAAAGCATCAGCAAGACCAGGCTTGAGTGACGGCTCCTGCACTTAGGGACTGTGTGATCTTGGCCAGTCCCATCACTTCTCTGAGCCCAGCTTCATCATCCATAAAATGGAGATAACCAGACTGCCCTTTCAAGGTCGCAGACCAGAAGAAAAGGAAATGAAATGTGTAAAGCCTTTGCAGGAGGCCTTGCCTGGGAACCACAAATATTGGGTCCCTCCTTTTCTCCTTTCCCTGGCCACAGAGGAAGCAGATGCTGTCCGAAGAGCTCAAGGCACTCAATCCCACTGTGGTATAGCATGCGGCTGGCCCAGGGCTCCCAGCTCTTTGAAGGGATTACTGTCCCTACTTGACAGGTTTTATTCATGATGGAGGGTTGTTAGGCTGGAGGTAAGTGGAGGAAACAGGGCCAGCCTTTCAGCGATATCTTTTTCCTCTTGGTATAAACTTGTCCCTTTTAGCTTAGACGTCACCATCACCATTATCATCATCATCATCATCACTATCACCATCATCATCATCCCCAATATGATCATCTTTATCACCATCAATATCACTAATATGGGTTGGATCTCTGTCCCTACCCAAAACTCACATTGAAATGTAATCCCCAATGCTGGAGGTGAGGTCTAATGGGAGGTGATTGGATCACAGGGCTGTTTCTAATGATATAGTACCATTCCTCTAGTGCTGTCCTCCTGACAGAGGTCTCATGAGATCTGGTTGTTTAAAAGTGTGTAGCACCTTCCCGCTCCCTCTATTCCTCCTGCTCCAGCCATGTAAGGCATGACTGCTTTCCCTTCACCTTCCACCATGATTGTAAGTTTCCTGAAGCCTCCTGAGAAACAGAAGCCACTATACTTCTTGTACAGCCTAGAGAACCTTTTTTCTTCATAAATTACTCAGTCTCAGATATTCCTTTATAACAATGTGAGAATGGACAAATAAAATCATCATCATCATCACCATCAACATCATTATCACCATCACCATCATCATCATCACCATCACCATAATAATCACCATTAACATCACCATCATTGCCATCTCCATCATTATCATAATCATCATCATCATAATCACCATCAACATCATCATCATCATAATCACCATCACCATCATCATCATCACCATCACCATCTTCACCATCACCATCATCATCTTCACCATCACCATCATCATTATCACCATCACCATCACCATCATCATCACCATCACCATC